GAACGCGCGTTTCGAATGCTCGAACGATAATATTAGAGATTACAGACGACTTTCGCGCTAAAATCAACACGTCGTAATTTCCATCGCTTCGGGACAAGGATTGCGTCAAATATATCTCGTGCTCTAGAAACGATGATAAGCGCAAATAGCTTTGGGTAATGGGTAACAGTCCTGAACGGCGCACTATGTGTTAATTTTAATAAAAAGAGCGACGTTTTAGAAAATGATAGAGGGTCCAGAAGTAAGAGCCGTGTTTAGATGTTTGAGCCGTCAAGTTGTCTAATATTTCCCGAGTAATTCCTGATATTAACGCGTTTATTCGCATGCGGCCGGAATGACCTGCGTGACTTTGTAATGGTAGGTCACATTCGAGTCTCCCGGCATTCATCTATCCACAAAAGGACCCTGCAAGCCTTAGAGCCCACGGCTGACACGATTCATCCTGTGATCTCTTAATAATAAACGAATTTAGAAACTTTAGTAGCTTTCGAGAAATTCATTTTAAATTATTGAACTTATAATATCTTTAATATTTTATTTAATTTTTTATTTGATATCTTTTTTAAAAGGTTGAGTTTTTTTAAAAACATTATTAGTTTAACAATACATAATGTAATTGTTTTCAGAGTGAATTTTTAACATTCTCGTCTTGTAACGTATTTCTCTGCATTACATCTTTGCAGCTATAATTTGTGTTGAAGAAGGAAATGCCAGTGAAAGGTCTTCCTTGATAAAAACGCCGTAAATCATAAAGTGCCATAATGCTATTGGCATAATTATTATTTAACTAAGAGTCATGTAACGCGGGTGAGATATTTGTGGCTTACTGTTAGATAAATCCCGGAAGGATTGCGTTAGGTTTTTGCTATCGCGTAAGACAAAAAAAAAAAAAAAAAAAAAAAACAAGGAAGAAGGAAAACGAGATAAAAGCAGAAAAATGAAAAAGAAGAAAAGTTGTCACGTTTGTTCCGATTTCTATCAACTCGTTGTTAAAAAAAAAGTTTTCTTAGTAGCGATTTAATGTCGGCTGTAATTTCCGGTCGTAAATGTCTAGTTATAAACTCAGCCAATGATTCCAGACCAGTTCTACATCTTGATGTCTTAATAATATTTGAACAGCCGGGAGCGATTTTTTAACGGAACAGTTAATTACTTTATGAAAGGAGATAAAGATTACCTTTGTAATTTCTAATAAAAGAACCGCTAGTGTATTGATTAAAAATGATTAGTAATTACAAATATATAAAAAATACCAAAAAGAAAATAAATCAACCGAGAGTCTCGTGATTGCAAAAAAAATATTTGTTAATCAAAGTGACAATTCTGCCATTTAAACTGATAGTGACAATATTATCCCTGATTCGTTCATTATTATTTATGATGAACCTCCATTGATAGCCATCTGTTAATTATGGTATTTCTTCCTTATTAACATTAACTTCTCGGATCGGCGTGTGACCTTACGAGGATAAAAGACGGATTTTACGCGAACGGCCGAGCGTGTCCCACAAGGCATTAGTATTCCAACGGGTATACGTGCCTGGTTGTACGGTGCTAGTACTAGCGAGGATACGTGCACGCGTGAGCGGCGTGCCAGTGCGTAAAGCTGTGCGTGCATCGCTAACGCGATGTGTGACTCGTCGCGTTTGATTCGGCCCTAAAGGTCGGCGAGCGGTATACGAGACGTACGCGATACAAACTGCAAGTACCACACGTACTTTAAACCATAAACGAGCATTACGGAGAAAAATAGTAAAACGATAATTAGAAAAGTAAAAATAGATTTTATTAAATAAATTATTAATTTTCTATCATGTCGCGCATTTTAAATATTAAATGCAAGACGTGTCAGCAAAACCTCCACTGTAATCGTGACAAATCAATTTATTTTTAATAATAAATTAAAATAAATTTTTATAATAAATTAAATAGGAAATAAAACAAAATCGCGCAGCACACGGCGTTCTCTTTATCTCTTCGCGATCGATCGATCGCTAGGATTGGAAATATTTGTTCACGATGCTCGTGTAATAACGCGGTGCATCGCGGAGTTTGCGTCAGAATACGTCGTCGCGAGAGTCGCGACCTTAAGAATCTAGTTTATTTCGTAATAAATTCCTCGCTCGCTCGCTCGCTCGCTCGAGCCGAGCCGAACGAGCGAAGGCGTATATGTACGCGCTGTGTAATGTGATTTGTGCCTCGTGCCGGCCCTAAAGGTCGGAGTGGAAAAGATATGCAACGGTGCGCACTCCTTGTGCAACGGTCTTTTCTCGGTTTGCGGATTTCTGCGGCGATATCTGCCACGAGCCCGCGGCAAGAGATTCTCCGACAGGTATATACCTGCTTGTCGGAGGGCAGAGATCGTACGACGAAGATAGGATACGGGTGGTGACTTCCTTAATTCAGTCGCGCGCTAATACTAGCTCCCGAATTGTCAAATTTATCGTAACACGTCGTTATGGGCCGTCGATAAGCCGAAGGAGATCGTGATGATAATTTTCCTAAATACACCTCAAGAATTATGTAAATATAATCGACAGCGGAACCTTTTCTGTTAATAGGACATGTCGGACCGAAAGATGTTTCGCATATATCTGCACTACTCTCATAGCTTAATTATTTGAAACACGAAGATTATGCTTATAAATCGCGTGAATGTACCAATAACGTTTTGGAAAGAATAGAAATTAAACATAAATAGATAAATATAAATTAAAATGAATTTAAAAGGATTTTGTTTTATATAAAAATGATTTCTTTGCAATATTGTAATTTTGAATTTAAAAAATCACTTTTCTTTTGTATAATTTCTCAGCGATTTAAAGATTTAAAATTTATAATTGCATGGAATTGAAATTTCCTGTAAATTCCTTGTAATTTACTCATTTTCTGCAGGGTATGCACTCTTGATGTAATCAAGTTGGTTACATGAGAATCTTCTAAAGATGAAGGAGGTAAATTACCGTCGAGTTGATATTTGCAGTAATCAGATTCATGACCTAATGTAATCTTAAACACGCACATCCCGTTAAACTTGAGGCGAAGCCTCTTTCATTCCTTAATCTGCATTTCATATTTTCAATTAAAATTATTCTTGCTAATACAATTCCGTTTCCTCACAATATATCGTAAGAAATCTCAAGTTGACACGCCGAAGACATGCAAACTGCTCGTTGCGGACAAAATTGACTACAGTACGAAACTTGAGACGAAAACAGCAAAATTCAGTTGCCCGGAACGCAAATGTTATATCTCGAAATAATCCGATCGATACGCGCAGACAGTTATTTTTGAGTCACGCTCGGCATGAGCAATTTGATACTAAATTTCACGCTTACCTTACGAAGAAATCAAATCATTGCTCTAATTTCAGTGAGCTTGCTCGCTGTCTTGTTATGGAGAAATGCGAGAAAGAATTTCTAGTTGGGTCAAATTTCAACTATATAAAAATTTTATTCTTACAGATAAACAGTTTTCGTCGCAGTATTCAATCGCGATTCAATTTTGCTCGAAATATTTGGAAGTAAAAAAAAGAAACATAACGTTCAGCCAAAACAGGAAACAGAAATCAAGTTTCAATTGTTAGATTTAGAATTGTTTTATTTTCAAAAATAAAATGATCACATTTCATATTGCTAGTTAATAATAATTTATCTTCTTTGAGTTTCAGTTTTTCGGTATAAACGAATTAAGCGGAGAACAAAAATTGCTTGCGATAATTTTAACGTCTCGTGACAACTTGAATATCTCATGCGAACGTCTCTCTAAGATGAAAATAAACGCGACAATTTCCCGATAATAAAAAACCGTACGCTCACACAATCATCTATAAAAATAATTGTAAAATACATTGTTCGACAAAAAAATCGACGCATCTCGGTAAAATAATTCCAAGTCCATGAATTTTGGTACATCGATATTTTATAGCAAGACGCAGATTCTTTCTTATATAAATGATTCTTGTACTCTGATATCGTCGTCATTATTTCGTCTTCTCATCGATATAGCACACGCAAGATTTCACCAGTGCGTTCAGGGTGAGGACGCTTACTTTGAGGTGCGTCGATTTTTTTTGCCAAACGGTGTAGCATTTATAATATAACGAAGTCGCGGCGCGGAGTAGACAAGGAGCTGACGCAATCCAGAAGAGACTATGTGCATACAACTTTAAGCTCAAGCCGGGGCCTTTGGAACGAACGGTCTTGCAATTACGCGTTGACGCAATCCCGCGTGCGGGGGGCGCACCACTCCGGGTTCGCTTTCTCTCATCTTCCGAACGATGGGTTGGAAACGTTGAATTTATCGAACGGAGACGGAACGAAGGACCTTGATCCTTCTCATGAGTGGTCTTCTCTCCGTTTTCCTTTCCTTTCTCCCTCTTTTTTTCTTTTTTGCTCGTTGCACATCATTTAAAGTGCACGACGCTGCACGATCGTCCTCAGAGTTGTGCATGACGTTACGTAATATCAGGGTTAACAATGAAATTTCCAGTTTCTGGCCGGTGTGGCGAGCTGCGGCGAACGCGTACAGATAGGAGGCAACGTGCCCGTTTTTGCGGTCGAGCGCGACTCGCAACATTCGCAAAAAAAAAAAAGAGAAAAGAGAACACGCTGCAAAACCGCACCGGCATTTCCGGCGAGACGTATGTTTTATGTCTTGTTCGTGGCATGTTCGCTTTTTTGAAAAAAAAAAAAAAAAAAGGATAGGTTTCCTCGACGTATAGTGTCAAACGATCAACTTCATGTAATCGGTGTATTAAATTTGAGCCAATTTCTATCGCAGTGTAAACGGAAAGAGAAGTAATATGTAAGACATTCCGTTCTTTCCACTCGATACTCGAACTATCATTTGACGATATTCAAACAGAATTCCTCGCCTTAATTTTATATTTATTTTGAAATTTTTGTTATGGAATATACAATTTTAATGATCTAGAATAAATATTGTTGTATGAGATAAAGAATTTTATTTTTAATAATCGCACGTTTTCTCTTGATTAGGGATGCACGAGATGGGCCAGGAACATCGCGGAACACGGACCTGTTTGTCGGTTTATTGCGAACGGTGCAGGCAGCACACGTAATAGGCACGCCGAACGTATACCGGATGGATCGCCCCGTGTTCCAAGTATTACAAGAGCGATCTCCTGCGTGTCAAGACTGTCGATGCGGAAAGCGGCCGTGCGCGGGACGCGCGCTCGTCTCCGTTCCTCCCATCCGTGTATGCCCACCACCTTCGCAGGAACGCCGTGTACCAGGGTGTGGCGCCAGAACCCGGAGAACGACCTTAGGCGCGACCTCGCCTGGGACTGACCAAAGCCGCACGCCAATCACGCTTACAATTTGAGAATTCAGACGAGCACACTCGTGCACGCGAAATCTATCGAAGGGCTGCATTCTGCCTGTTGCTAATTTTTAATCAATCCATTATAAGTTGTGCAATACACAATGTATATTATTTATTATATTATTTATTTTTTACAATTGCGTACTTTTTAAAAAGAAAATATAGATTTTAAATATGATTATAGACCGATTAGTCGAACCGATTAGGATCAAGCAGTTGTATCATATAAGTTTGCTCATCGTTCTTTCGAAGTATTATCCATCACAGTTGAAATATCAGGATTGAAAATAGCTAAATCGTTTCTATCATTCGATGGGCTAAACGCTGCCGCGCTGTAGGCACGTAGTTTGCCATCAGATAGGTTTCGATCACACGGGCAATCGATCTCGAGCTCGCATGGTGGATAGACGAGTTTACATAGCTATAGTACAGCCAATGTGTCCTATAAGTGTATCGTCGAGTACGTAACAGGAAGTAGCACGACACGAATATTAATGAACGCGCGCGCAACGAAAACGTTTACTGCTCGTTCTTCGCACTGCACGCGCGCCTTCATGTTTTGCAACACGTGCGACACACGCGCGCGCGTGTTGCACTCTTGATGTTTCGCACAGTTTTAACCTCGAGTAACTCATAAAATAAACGCAAAAAATATACATAATGTTTTACCTTGCTATTCCAAAGTCGCATAGTTCAAAAGTTTTAAGAAAAAAAAAATAGTCATAAAAAAAATTTCGTATTTGAGGAAAAATAATTATTTTGTAACAATATATTTTCTAAAAATATATATATTTTGCTATATCTTTTGTATCTTTAACGTATCTTTTAAAGTGTACTATTTTAACGTGTAAAGTAAAATTTTTTATATGTAAAAGTAAACATTGACACAAATAATTTGCAATTTGTATTATTGTATCAAAGTAATAATAAAATTGTTATTTAAAAGTAAGAGACATCATGACTTAATCATATTTACAATTTGAAATGTAAGATAAATATAAAACAAAATTATATTTTTATATAAAATCTTAATAATCCAATATGACATTTTTCTAAATATATAAGGCTATTATATCTGATATAATATTTATATAAGTTGTCTAAAATAAATTTAATAGCAGTTCTATTTACATTAAATGAAATAGACAACTCGAATAAGTAAATAGCACTTATTAAGAAAAGAAAAACTAATACAAATCAACAATATAAATTCATGTTACATTCACATTATTCTTATCATCTCTACAAAATGCTGTGGATTTAAGTTTGCTTAAGTTTACTCATATTTGCTTAAGTAATTTATTTCTCAGCTCCGCTTAAATTTATCTTGAAAAGGTGGTAAGTCGAAAATCCTAGCCGTACCAAGAAGTACTAACACTGGAAATAAAATCATATATGTAAACATTAAAGAAAATATATTCATATCAGAATTTTATTTATTAAACTTTTTAATGAGGTAAAAATATGTCAGCAACTTATATCTCTTGTCAAATAATTATAATACAATATTATATTTTCTCAAATAAACATACCAGAGGCAACTGAATACATTGCTGCTTTTCCTGCTTGATTCTGATACTGTTTGGAATGATGACAGACGTATAAACCAGCGGCGACAAGACCACCGCCGCTTAGCATTCTGCATTCGAAACAATCGCGATTTCTGTTGCTAATAATGCTGTTCACCGTGTGTACATTTGACATATTTCAACACTTGATCTTCGATACAGATGTTTACAATTGATCCAACGTATGTTCACAAAGGCGTGATTCTTTAGAGAGGTTAGAAAAGAGGTTAGCAAACCGCCAAGTGTGTTTTGACCGTACCGGTTATATATAGATACTGTCAAACTGTTACGTCTAATGATGCAATTACACAACTAGTATCAAAAAATAAGATTTACTCTGTCATGTAATATTGTGTATATATATAAAACATAAAAAGATGCATTTTTTATTAATTTATTATTAGTGGATTTTATTCTCTCTCTAATATTTAGACAGATTTGTAAATATAATTGATTACTAAACCAATGAGCCAACCTGATGAACAGGCTTTAGGGTATATCCAGACAAACTTGCATAGTGCATAAGCATATGCAAGGAAATGGATTGGTCCATAATAAAATGCATAAAGAAATGGACCAATCCATTTCTTGCATTCTAGGAACTTTTAATCAAAAATTTAGTGACTTCCATACGATAAATTCTATTGGATAACACTTGCGTTCCAAAAATCGCAAAAACTGCCTTTATTTGGACATTGTATTTAACTCTCTTTAGAACGTGTTGGTTTATGCTGCAATTGCAGCGCTCAAAACGGAAGTATTACATGATAACGAATCTCTTGGACTTCCGGTTCACATGCGTTCCTCTTCATTTTGTTTCGTGTGCCGCTCAACGTGTGATATTTGTAGCCTACGTTGTTAAAATAAATATATATAAATAAAAGAAAGGATTTAAAATATTATATACAGAAATAATGGCAGCGACAATAAGGAGTCTTATGAGATTCAATGTTGGTCTAGTCAACAATACTCTTCTGAGAAATAACGTCTTAAACTGTATGTATATCGACCCAACCTTACTTTATATTACTCCATCTTAACTTGCGGCATTAGTTTTTTATATTAGTTGTTATTGGTATATATCAATATATATTTAATAATAATTGTTAAACAATATTTTCTAATGTTTTTTTATATTTTATTTTTATTACATCAATAATTTGTTAATGGTAATTAATGATAAAAGATAAGTTATATATTGTATTTATATATTAAAAAGATCTCTTAAAAGCTCTTAAAAGGATTAAATTACGTTATTTGTTCAGTTTAATAAGATATTTTATCATGAACATGATTTTTGTGTAGTCATATATTGTAGTCATATTGATATTCCAATGATCTTTCCTATAAAACAAGATTATTTGTCATCTTTACAGCCTGCAGATTTTTATATTCTGAGAAAAGTTTGGGTTTAAATGGCTATGAAAATGCGCGATTAAACTTTCGCAACCAATTTTTAAATGTGGAGTCTGACTTTCGTACGAAGATGCAGCAAATATGCGAGACAGACTCAGATTCAAACATGATCTTCACAGAAGATTTGAAATCAATGTTGCATTTAGCCCAAAAGAAACCAGAGGATATTGAATTGATCATCAAAATGTTAACCAAGTTTAATAATCAAAATAAACAATTGAGATTTGGTACATTTGTCTTTGGTCCTGTAGTAATGCGCACTTTCTACTATCTGGATGAGCCAGATCTTGCATTAACTGCTTTTAAAGATCCACAGTTTGAGCATTTCTTTAATCAGCTCACTAGTTACCAAATTCTTCTAACTTTATTATATAAACACAAAAAGTATTCAGAAATGAGAGATGTGTACGATATTATTAAAACTAAAAATATGGAAACTGGTGGATACCCTATAAATTCTTCCATATTGATCATGGCTGCCTGTTATAAAGAGGTAACATTTTTGCATAAGTTATTAAATTTTGTAAAAGCATGATAAAGTGTTTTAATCTAAAGATAAAGCATCTTACATAATTATATTTGATGTTTCCAGAACACGCCAGAAACATTGGAATATGCTTTGACCCTCTGGAAAGAGTTAAACGAAAAGGGATGCCAAATCATGAGAAGAGCTTCTACATTTGTAGCAGCTTTAGCTATTAAGCAAAATTCACCTCATATAGCTATCGAAATCTTAAGTACATTGAAAGAAGCTCGATACATTGATGTCAGATGTTTAAAAGTTGTAGCATACACAGACTTGAAGAGGTTTACTGAGATAGTACCTATTCTCAGAGCATCGATAGAACACGATAGACCACATCTTAGGAAAGAATGTTACTTTGTAGATGTGGTATGTAATCTATTTATTATTTGTAGACAACATATGCTATTTGCACTTTGTTATATTTGATTCTGATTATACTTTCAGATCGAAAAATTGGAAGATGTTTTGACAAGGGAGAATGTTCCTAAAGATTTTGAACTTTATAAATTGATCAAGATATTAAAGGAAAACAATCATATGTTCCAGAATGTAAGTTTTACTAAAATTCACTCCTACATTAATCGTTATTAATCTTTACTATCGATTGTATCCCAAAGTTATTTCATGTTTTTTTTTAATTGTAAAAAATTTAAGTATAAAATTATGAAGTAAATGTTGGTCAAAATATTCAAATTAGGACGAACAATTGAGAACAATTATATGTTTTTACAGATCTTGGATGAGCATCTTTGCATGGAAATCAATCCACTCAAACGCAGATTGATAGACAGAGACTCCGATGACCCTATGAAACAGCGGCAACGAGAATTCACGAGCAATCGGGACATCGGTGCGAGACCGGTGTTACAAAATCTTTTGTAAATGTATTCTATATGGAAGTTGTAGAATGTGACTAACATCGCAACAATTACTAGTTTATGTTAGGTAACTTTAAGAATTATATTTAAACTTATAAATAAACATCTCCAGTTGACCGATAACGGTAGAATCACAATTGTTTTTCTTAAATAACCCAATAATTAGTATATTTTCTTCATCAAGATTAATATTTTCAATAAAATTTATAAGATTTATAAAATTGTGCAATTGATTAATTTACATTTGTTACTTTTTGTAATACATATTAAATGTCACATATTTTTCGAATAAATTACAATAAATTAGTATACCTAATTCACATGCTGCAAAGTTTTATTAATTTAAGAACTATTAATTTTTTTTTCGTTGCGAAGCAGCCATTGTGACATATATTCAGAAGTTTGGAATTGCGATTTCACTATCGATATTAACGACGATACCCATTGATGATTGATCTTTGAATCCCCATCTTCGCATCTATAAACAAAAATGATGCACATAACTAGTTAGAAACAGATTATAAGACGATCACGTTAATTCTCTTATAGCACTGACCTGGGCACAAGTGCGGCAATAAAATTAGCCCAGCTCTCAACATTAGTGGGATATGTAAATATATTTTTCTGAGCCTGCCGGAGGCCTTCTTTCGTGCCGAAGTGACTGTACGCCGATGCGCAAGCGACATATACAATGTCAGTCATGGACGTATTCCTGCTTAGAACCAGTGCTATTTGAGCACATCTACGGAAGAGATCCAGGCTTGTGTCCAATAGCGAAACTCTAACAAGGCGCACCCAATATCTAATATCATCTGCAACGTCGAGATACACATGTTAAACGATAAACTTGCGTATGTGATAAAGCATAACGCATGTGGCTTACTGGGATGTTTGAAAATAGCTTTGCTTAAAATTCGTATGGCTTCGGTGAGATTTCCCTGAATAACGTGATGATACGCGGACAATGTGACGGCATGGTGGCCATACTCGTGATTATCTTCATACGGTTTCAATTCCTTCAGCACCAAAGAGGTCAGATTGGAATCGTCATGCAAAATTCCTAATGCAGCGGTCGCCAACAAGCCGGCTATGGTAGGCGGTTCTATTTGTATACACTGGAACAGCAGGGTCTTAACAGCGTCTGCCCCTTGGAAGATGTAAGCAATCGCGGCCATCGCGCACAAGACATTCGCTTTGCGCGTTTCGGTGTCCGCCAACCAGTGTAGAGCTGCTTCGTACGTGTTGTACGATTCTTCGTATTGTTTGGCTAAACATGTGGACATATAAAATGTTTTTTACTCTCTTCACACACGTTTGCATGTAAGTTTGAATATGTATAATTGCGGGAGTTCTCGCACCTTTGAATAAGCTTAATGCTAAGTGGCATTGAGAGTTGAAACTTGCATTTTTCACTTGTCTGCACAATTCCACTGCTTCTTCGTATCTTCCTATTTTAATCAGGACACGTGCCAAGTTTATAGATATCATATCCCTCTCTTCGCCCTGGCTCAGTTCTAAAGCCGTGACGAGTTGCTTAGCCGCCGTGTTATACAATTTTAATCGTTCCAACAATAAACCGTGGGTGTTCAGAGCACAAACATCGGTTGGTTCGCGTTCTAAAAAATGATGAAGTAACTTTAACGCTGCAGTACGAGGCGAATATTGTACTAACGTTGATAACGCTATCTCTCGCTTACCTGTATACCAAGTGAGAACATCCGCTGCTGCGGGTATCGCGTGCATGTTCTTGATAACATAAATGAACAACGGATCTTTCTTCATTGTGGGATTCAGGAGAGTAGTAAGCACCCAGTGAGCATAGCCTAGAGCCGCTTGATCGTGGTAGCCTAGTTGTGTCGAATGCCGGAACAGGTCCATCGCTTCCTTCCTCGAGGACTTCTCCGCAATTAATCCTTGACCGATCCAGCTGTTGATATAGCTAGGATCCGCGCGTTGGGCTCGAGAAAATGCTTCATTCGCTCTGTAGATATCTCCTTTACATCGACATACATCGGATGATCGTAAGATGCGTAATAATAATTTAACTAAATACAACGAAAAAGTAACAGCAATCTTTAAGTACCTAGATGCAAGTATAACGTCCCCAGATTGCTCCATGCTATCGCATTATTCGATTCTCTGTCAATCGCCATAATGAAACAATGCTGAGCAAGCGCGTAATTTTTTATGTACGGCGATGTACAAATAACACCCAGAAGGTTCCAATGTTGCCATGATTGTGGGCAAAGTTTAATGGCGTGCTTTGCAGCAGCAAAGCACTTGGCTGCCACGTCATTCTTATTGATTTTAGAATCACGTTCCAATTGCATTGAATAACAACACGCTAAATCGTGCCACAGCAAAGCAGAATTTTGCGTGATAGACAACGTCCGGCAGAAACATCTAAAAACAGAATAATTTGTCGATGCAGCATAAAATTAGATTCTGAAAGGAAAGATATAAAATTTTATTTAAAGAAACAATGATATCTATAAAGAAATTACACAAACTCCTTTATGCCAATGATTGCTTTATACATCAATGGTGACATGGTTATATTTTATAAAGTATTTTAAGAATAACTTCTTTTTACCTTATTGACAACGTGAGTATCTCGTCTCTTTTAACCTTTACATAGTGCTCAGTGCTATCGTAATTCATTAAAATAGGCTTAACTCTTATGTAGCAATATTTTTCAGGCAGAGTGACTATCCTATAGCACACATCGCCGAGCAATTTCCAATTGCAAGACAGATCACTGCGCATCATAACAGCATCAGTTAGGCTATCTACTGCTTGCTGTAGATTTTCTCTCGCACGGCACAGAAATTGTTTTGTGATATTTTCCCTCGCCAGACCCAAACACGCTTCAGCTAAGCCCTTTAATGCGAGAATGTATTGTTTATCATTTTCTAATATATTCTCGAAATCTTCTTTGGCTTCGTTGTACTGGCCAATCAGCTGGGAAGAAAATTTTGCTTCTATATAATCTGCGTAGATTCGATAATTTCTTATTTGTAAATTTCTTAGATTTTTACCACTTTGATGTTTGCAAGTTGTATCAAGGGATACAAGGATCCTGGTTTCAGCTGTAGCGCGCGTTGATACGATTTCAATGCTGATGTATGAGCGCCGCGTATTAAATATGCATCCGCCAGAGATTCCCAGCTGTGACTGCAAGTGCAAAACTTATGATAAAGAATGTCACAGCACTCTGTAATATAGTAAAATAATAGTTAATTGCCATACTTGTCGTTAGGATCAGCCCTGATCACATGCTGCAACGCTTTGATGGCTTCTGCGGCGTCACCTTGATCCAAGTACTGCAGACCTAATTGGAGCCAAGCCCATTTCGGCCCATTATCTTGCATGGTTAGTTTTTGCAACAGCTGTATGTTAGCATCCTAAGCAACGTATACACAAGATTACTATTAAACTAGAACTCTCGAATAATTGTTATAATTCCTTTATATTTTACAGCAAAAGAACTGTTGTGCTTACGGTGTTTTTAAGAAGTCGATAAGTTGTGCTTAGTCCGACACCAGCTTCCTCGGAAAACGGATTAATTTGCAATGCAGCGTGATAACATCTTCTCGAACGATCTATATCGTTACCATGTTCGCGATAATAATGTCCCAGATAAACCAGGCACTCCCAATTATTGCTATCCGCCTGGACGCCGTTCAAGAAAGCTATCAGACTGTGGTTGTAGTCTTCCATGTCCCAATATATTTTACCAAACAGCAACCAGGCTTCAGAATTATCCAACGCTAGCTCGATGGTGTTAATAGCTTCCTCGTATTGCTTTCGTTTCTTCAAATGCAACGCTTTGAGGAATTGGATTTTACTTGCGTCCTGATCCTTCATATTATCTAACGCGACAGCATAGGTATTGTCCAGCAATATATTTATTCGTGCATATATCAATTGCAATTGTGCGGAAAATTGACTCTCCATCAACTAAATATTTCAAATTTGCAAATGTACAACATATAAACAAACATTGAAGAAAACTTATACCATGTTTATGTTAAATAATATTTACCTCTTCACACCTCTGCCGCGCTTGTATCAGCTTTTGTTCATTGCTGCTCCTACTCATTGCATCAAGTAATCTCAATTCAATATCATACTGTAGTTTGTCCTTTAAATTGGGTTTTATCAAATGTAACGCTTGTTTAGAAGCATTCTCAGCTTCTTCCCAGCAGTAGAGTTTATACTGCACCCGACTCAACATCAACCAAGCATAGAAGGATCTTGCATTCAACAAGATTGCTTGATTCAGACACTCACGGGAATTGATAATCTTATCTGTACTCTCTAAATATGTTGCCTTTGCAATCAGTGCAATGTCAGAATTTGCATTCAACTTTAAAAGATCCTCATAAAACTGAATTATATTGATTTCAAATTTTGTTCCATTCAGTATCATTTCTTCATAATAGATCCGGCATATCCATTCTATTGTAAAAAAAAAATTACTCATGCTACATTAAATCTATACATTAAAACATATCTTAAAAATTTCAATAAAAATTAACAAATAGCTTACCTAAAGAACAAGCATCTTGTTGAAATTGAGTGTACATGTCCTGGGCTGCTATTAATAAAACATTGAACTTTTTGAAATCATATAATATCTTTAAATACTTCCTATAATAATCTTGTCTGTTCAACAGATCTGTATCTTTTATTACAGATGCTAATACACTCTCATAGAGCTCCTGATACTTTTGTATATTATTCTTAGGATATTCTGTTAAAACCCAGGCCAGAGTCTTATCAATTAAACTTGTCTTCTCTTTGGTAGAAACTTCTCGCAACATGCTCAATGTGTTCAATGCTTCAGTCAGTACTTCATCGTTCTTGATCCTCAACACAACCTCAGAGACTTTATTTACAAAATGTGTAAACTTAGGAGTATCGCTAAAAAGATATTGACGATTTTGTATTGCTCTAAAGTCTAAAATATTTTAGAACGTATAATATCCTACCTATCTAACTTCAAAAGTTTGCAATAAGCTATAGCCAACTTTTCCCAATCCTCATTATTCTGTGACACTTTTTCATAATGTGCCACTAAACCTTGCCAGGCTAATGGATTATCTGGTTGTATTTCAGTTGCTTTTTGAAGAACCAAGGTAACCTGTGATTTAAATTCTTCGATCTCCTGCATGGCACGAGCTAATAGAACTAATGCTGTATAATTGCTTTTGTCTTTCTTCAAGATTTTTTTGCATTTCTTCATAGTTTCCAAATATTCATTCTGCTTGAAGGATTCACGAGCTTCCTTCAGCAAAACCTTTACATCGTCCGACATCTTGCTCTCTAACAAAATAAAAAATATTACACATAATAATAATCATATTATTATAAACCGACAGTAAATTATAATTATAAAATATTAAGATTTTAATTATACTGACACAGTAGCCCGGTAAATCTTGAATCTAATTTTATAAAAATTTTACAATTATACCACTATGTATAAATTATTATAAGCAATAACTAAATTTATTAGATATAGTAAATATTTTGATATATGTTTATAAAGGAAATGAATTTGTTTATAAACTAATGCAATCAGTACGTTCTGTTGACAATCAACAAAGTCTCCAGTTTGCTGAAGTCATAAAACAAGATTGGAGGACGCGCAACGGCCAGAAAACGCCTGATCGCGTCCTTCAATTTTTATTTCTCTTCTAGGGTCCCTAAATGAAGGAGAGCTAAAGCGCCATCATATGATGCAACTTGAAAACTCGAACAATTTTAGCCAAATGGTTTGAGTCTTGGCTAAAACTGGTTTGAGTCTATTTTCGCTACTAAAATCGAGGTTATGATACAAGTCAAAGATAAATCAAACAAATAAATTTTTTTGTTCATCTAACAAGTTATCATGCGTGAGACCTGGTGAAACTGCTGTGTGAGACTGAAAAATCTATGTCAAAAAGTATGAAGAAATGTTAGTGACATTTTATTTAAATTATTAAATAAAAAAAAATACTAAACCTGTGCTATCAATTAAAAACATGGGAATTAATCCGCTAAGTATAATTTTGGTAAAAAGCGATAGTAAGGGTGATAGATTGTTGTTTCGGTATCCACATGTAACAAACCATGTAAGAGATTCAAATCAGTGCACTAAACGAAAGAATCCTTATTCATTAACTAATACAGAAGACTTGTTGCAGGTATTTAAAGAAAATATTTTTTGTATTCAGTTATTTTAAATTCTATTATTTACAATATGTAATAATTATTTAATCGTGAATTCTATTTTTTTCAACAGTCTTTACCACTTGCAACATCAAATATAAGTAATGGGAATCTAACTGGTTTAACAGATGAAGTACTATCTACTTTATTCGCTGTAAAACCAGAATTATGTGAGCAGAAATTTGAATTAAAGGTAAATGATGTTCGCTTTGTTGGACATCCAACTCTAGTCCCATCTCGTGGTTTAAAAGAAGTAAATTCCTCTATGCTTTTCAATATAGTCTTTGCACTGCAAGCACAAGCAAATCATTCAATAGTAAAATGTTACTATGATCTTAGTAAAAGGTAATATTATTTCTATATATGTACAAAGTATTTACAACATACAAAAGTAAATATAAAATTATAATATGCTTAGATTAGGCATAGCACTGAGACATGAAGAAAAAAGATGTGGTTTTCTCACAGACGAAATAAAGATAATGGTTTCTACACATGATGAAATTGCTGGGAGGTAAACGAAATAATTCCTATTCTTTTGCTTTATAAAGTCATATGGTGTTTTAAGTACATACTGCATGCTTAGATCTGAGGGTGAAAGCGATTGCGATGAACTACCATATGAATTAATCCTTCAAAGAAGCTCACTTGCTCGTGGTTTAAAGTCTGTGTTTAGTAATCTCAGTACTTCTGGCATAGTTAGTATTATGATCAATAAATGGATCCAAGTGCGCTTTTGTCTTCCTCAAAAAGTTCATCAGTCGCATAAAAAGGGTTTACTCATTGATCCTGAAATTATAGACAGGTATGTTATATATCAATTATTAAAAATTGAATTTTTTATACAATTTGTTTACAATTTTAAATGTTTAGTTATTATCATAATTGTTTTACAGATGTTTAAACAATTTGAGACCTTACCATGGCATACTTTTATTAACTGAGCCATTAGAGTTACTAGAATCTTTGCAAATTGACTGCTCTCCAGCACTAAAACGTTTAATTCAGATGTACAATCCGTTAAAAAGTCTACAAACTCTAGCAGCAGATTCAGATCTGACACTTGCACAGGTGTTTCAATTAACTGGCCATTTAGTTTATTGGGCAAAGGCTACGATAATTTATCCACTTTGTGAAAGCAACGTCTATGTCGTTTCTCCTGATGCTGTTTTGACCAGTCAACTATTGGATTCTTTCTCTGAACAATTCCCAGGAGTTTGTTTACTTCAAGTATGTAGATCAATTTTTTTTTATTTTTATCAATGTTTAAACTTATTTGATCTTAAACTAATGAATATGTAATGTATAAATAAGACTTTATTATATTGACAAGATACTGATAAAATTTTTACAAGCATTTTATTTGATTTCCGCAGGTGATCAGCGATTTCTCCTTACCAACTTCCATTAGCCAAAAGTTGAATCCTCTGAGCCAGCCACAGCAGCAAACGCAATTAGTAAAGATAATCATATGGCTATTGAAGAACCATTTGCTCCTACAGTTGCATACATACGTGCGATATATACCAACAGCATATGAACGTTTATTACTAGTAAGCCACAACTAATTGCTATTAATGTGTATACATTATTCGTTCTTATTGTCAAGTGGAAAATTATTCGGATATAAAAGACACATTTCTGAATATATTGGCAAAATTTACCAATTTGTAAATAAGAAAAAATTAATATTACAATTTGATTCATGCAAAAAATAATATAATCTTATTCAATATAATTTTGATAAATTGTAAATATAAATACAATTAAATGGAGAGGAGAAAAAATATAAAAGGATCCATCTACCCGCAGGTCGTTATGACCCGATCTTAATTTATTTGCTGATACATATTGCAGTCTTTTTTTCGTAAGTTTGTTCCAAGATTTTCCATATGTTTCTGTTCATATATGTTACGTTTGTTTTAGGATATGAAAGATCAGGAAACGTGTGATATAAGCGCGATAGAAGAAAGTGAAAGCACATGGAGTTTAAATGACACGCCAACCGAAATCAAAGAGGAATTATCGCTCGAAGATAAAGAAGACACATTATACGACTATCAATCGGAAGATTACGATATTCCCTCTGACGATAGAAAATTACTCGACAGACTGTGCCGTCTTGGCTACTTTAATGGCGGTTATCACCTGGAAGAGATTATGTATTTAGAGAACATTCGTCGATCTCAATTGCTACAACTTCTCGACAAGTTTCGGGATGTATTGATGACTTCCGAGTGCGAGGATCCCGCCATAGCACTCTTTTATAATCAGTTGGATTCTTGATTTTAATTCTGTACAAGTCCGCCGGAAAGAGAACCTAACTAAAAATCTCTTATATCCATTTTGCTAATTGTGAATGCAATTTTTTAACACGATGAAGCTCGAATAATGAAACATTGTGATATAACGTTTATAACCAGTTGAAAAAGATTACCTTTAATGTTGTAAATTCGTAAGTACCTTCATGAACACAATAAGATGTATACGTGTCAACATTTGTCTTAAATAAAAAATTTTGCTATATATTCTCCGTTTTTTTTTATTAATTACAAACTTTGTCACAGCTTCTGTCTCGGATAGGTCTGTATTTTGCTTTTTAACTTCTTTAAAGCGCACTTAGCTGCCGTACACTTTGCGATTCTGTAATTTCGTCCGATTCCTTTAAAGGACCCCTTCCCGAACACGTCTACAGTTACTCGAACTCTACGGCCGTCGGCCAATTTCTCGGGCCTTCCAAACTTTGCCGTTTCCGGTTCCAATTCCAGTAGTTCACGTATTGGGGACTTGGGAACATTTGTGCTAAATTGTTCTGCAATTGCATAATATTTTAAATATAATTTCTTATGAAAATTTAAGTATTTGTTTTAAATGAAGTATATATTACCAATCTCTGATTTCATTATTGTATAATAAACGCTCCACACTGCATCAAGAGACATTCCACTGTCCAAGTAGATAGCACCAGCTAATGATTCGAAAACATCACCCAATGCCTTCGGTACTTCTACATCTTCGGCTTCTTCGCATTCTTCTTCGCCAATCAAATAGTACTAAAAATGATAATTTATTATTAAATATATTTGTTATTATAACGTTATTATAAATATAAATACGTATGTAAATCAAAAGGAAAGATGAACAGAATTAAATAGATTAATCACTATTGTTTTTATATTTTACGCTTTTAAATTTGATACTTTTTCATTGAAATCTTAACGATAAAAGTTAATTTCCTGTATTTCGTGTTTATAACAATATTTTGTACCTCCTCACTAATGGAATGTCCATTTTCTTCCTGCATTCTAACAAAGCGATTTATCACTACGCTCAGTCCAGGAGAAAGATGACGGAAATATTTATGAAATCCGCATCTCACAGCTAAAGAAGCGAATATCGTGTTATTGACTAAAGCAGATCTTAAATCTGTTAGAGCACCCGGCGAATGTTGTCGGGAATCCTCGTATAAATGTCTAGTTATTAAATAATCTAAAAATATATAATTTTAATATTAGATGTTATTTACAGTTTAATGGCAAAGCTTGACGAGAAATTTACCTAACACAGCATCACCAAGAAATTCCAAACGTTGATAACAATCCGTTAATCTGTTTGGTTGATAGGATGCGTGCGTGAATGCTTGCAATAAATAACTACTGTCATGAAATTTATATCCTATACTTTTTTCCAGTTCTTCATACCCGTCGAGCATCATATACAATTCACTCTCTGGATCGGGAATGTATCGGAGTAATGGATTTTGCGGTTCTTCCAATTTCCCGTAACAAATCTGAAAATTTTGATATGAAAAACCATAATTAATTCAAACATAACATGAAACCTAAAAGCGGAATGCGACGAAGATGTTTTTTTTTGCTTGTGAAATTTTATGTGCAAAAATTGTCTTTTATTGTTAGTGAATCAATTCAAAGACCATTAGTTTGTTGTCACTAATGGAAATCGATTCCAAAGAATGCTGCGTCTCTGCTTTATCGTTAATTCTGAAAAAGCTGAGGAACTAATTACTCACTTGCGTCCAAGTAGTTTCACCATGCTTATTAGTTCCCTTCGTATATGGTGTACTACCAGGTATTCTCTCTTCCGGCTCGTCTTCCCGTATCGCGCAAATTTCTTCAGTGGGCAAAACATGAATTCCCAACCAAGTCATGAATAGAAGCGCTCCGCGGGGTCCGCATGCAATTAAGTACGCTCCTATTAAAGCTTCGACACAATCTGCGATACTTTTATCCGGGATACTATGCTGCGTAATTAAATTATAAGGTATGAAGCATCGCAGATTATCCAAGTTGTTCGACAGCCTGCTTTCGTTTTTATCCAATTCGCTTTTCATAATCACAAGCTTCTCCTCAGTCTCTTTCACAAGTTGAGTTATTTCGGTGGGATTTACAGCTTGCAAGGTGGGGATATCAGCTTGATTCCACAGAGCGGAAGGAACGCCAGATTCGATCAGTGCTTGCTCCAGCTCTTTAGGTACGTAATAACAAGGGGGCAGCCAGTTATCATGCGGCTCAAACTTGGTCGCTATCATACTCTCGCCAAGCATTTTCTGCCTCCCAAGTCTATAAAGATTTAAATTGCTAACCTAAAACAGATTGGCAATTTGAAGAATACACACATGCATGCGCGCACGCACGCATATACGCACACAGAAAGTATAAGTAGTAGCTAAATAACATTTGATAACATTTAACAGCAAGCCTGTCGCCATACCTGTTTCGATCTTAAATGGCTAAGTTTCCCTTCGTGGATATTGTCATATGTGCAATACAAATATGTAGTTATAGCATACTTAAGAAATGAATCGCCGATCGTCTCCAATCGCTCTAGATTAATGCCGTCGTTCGCATTAGACATTGTTAAAGCCTGCAGAATTAAACTCGGACTTGGCCCCGAATGATTTTTCAATTCTGGTTGATAATCGAAGCTGAAAAGACCGCTATCTAAATAATTTACTTCCTCTAGCTTGTTAATCTCTTTCTTTACTACTTGAGTAGATTCCGCGAGTTTCTTATTCAATACTTCATCCGTAAATTTCTTTACAACAGTTTCGATATAATCCTTATGTGTATAATTCGGTTGCTTTCTGTCGGTTTGGCAACTCAACGAGTTCTTCCTCTTAATCGTAATTTCAGAATTACAAGATATGAAGGTACCGTCGTTCATTATGTCGCATTCCTTCTTCTTGGCGAACTCGTAATGAGCGTCCTTATGTTTCGCGAGTAACAATTCCTCATCCTTTTCCGTGTACAACCAGAAATTATTGTCAAAATTCTTCTCTGTCTCTAAAAGGTCCAAGATCTTCTTGTTGATCTCCTGCTTACATATTTGTTTTTCATCCTCCACAGCTTCGGCGATATTCTCCCCCATGTAAGAAATCTTTAGGCCTCTGCTTTCGTCCTCGCTTTCGTCGGACGTATCGGCAAAACCATCGCTGTACATATCATCCGATTCGTAACCGTCGAAATCAGATTCACATGTTGGCGAGCCATATCGTATATCATTCCAACCGAAATCTTGCGGCAAAACCGTCACATTTAGGGGGAATGATTTCAGATTATCGTCATCATAATCTATAGATTTAATTGTCATGTCACTCGACCACGCCATATCGTTCGACCATGTGCCGATTTCCAACTCATCATCTTTTTGATCGTCGGCAATCTCTTCTTCCGCTTGATCAGTCGTTGTATTGTCGGATTCCTGCTCTATTAGCTTCTCAGTCTCATTGCACAATGCAATTTGCATATTATTTGCATCTTGATCAGTGTTTTGGCATTTATTGGAATCTACATTGTTCGCGTTGTTGGTCGATGAGTTGCTTTGTGCGTTGTCATTTTTGGTCTGCTTTGTCTTTTCCGTTTCCTTCGATTTTTTCAACACTTCCGCCAAGCTCCATCCAAAATCTAGCGCTGGCCATTCAAAATCTGAAATAAAAATGTTTTAATATAATAGCTGTTCCTAAATTTTATTTTCACTGAAATATGTTCTTCTCGAAAAATATGTGTTTTGTATACATAAATTTATATATGGACCTGATCTCAAATTCTCTTGCCCCAAGTTTATCATTTGTGCAACTTGACATCGTATTTGATTAGCAAGTAACAGAGCATTAATTCTATACAGTATGCACGGTAAGCAGACCGCTTGTCTCCATAAAGACGCTGGGAAAGGATGAATAGCACATAATTCAGCAACGAGAATCTGCTTTTGCTCTAAATTTTCTCTCTTTGCGCGTTTGGTTTCCTCACTACTCGTAGGCAACGCGACGCCTTTGCGATTAACATATCTGAAGTAAATAATTTATTACGTGTTATCCAAAGAATGGTTGACTCGATAAAACAGCTGCTTTACACAGATCTTACCTAGGAGTTAAAAAATTTAATCTAGCCGATGTGTGATCCACATCTAACAACGACTGCTCTAGATTCTGTATTTGTATACCGTATTTCTTCAAATAATATTCTTCGAAAGTGCTATAGTCGTGTCCGGGAAAAGAAGACTTCGGATTTAGGTTCGTGCAGATTTCCGCTACATAAAAGTACTGGAAGAAGAATAAGATAAAATGTACAAAAGATTTCAGCTTATACTTGAAGCACTGAAATATATACCTGTGGTTGGTCTTGACTCCTGTACCATGGCATGATTACAGCGTCATAATATTTGGATGGATCAAAGTTGAAATTTTTCCTATCTTCTTCTGGAACTTTGGTTGGCACCGCATTTTGATTCTGATAAATGCATTCCAGAAAATCCCAGTCCACACTAACATCTGACCCTTCTTCTGTTGTAACTGAATGAAATAAAAAATTAGACTTCATAGGCATCACACAAACATAAATATGATTATTTAGAAACACGAGTTGATAATGAAAATTACACATATTTCGACAAAAAATTGCAGCCATGTTTCACATCTTTCTATCAGAGACTTCTAAGAATCTAAAGAAATCTAAAGAAATTTCTAAACTTACACTCTCTTCTAATTTCTAAGCGTGTATACTTACATATTTTTACTGGCACAATTATGTATGAATTCTCTGAAGTGTTTGGATCGAAGAGCATCAGATACTTTTGTAATCTCAAGACGTTTGTGAAGGTATAATTAAGAAAAGTATCAACTCTTTCTATCTGAACCTCGTCCAAAATTACAGTCTGCTTACTAAGTTTTAATTGCACATGAACCTCACCCGACCTAGTATAAATAGGAAATGGACACAACTGTAAAAGATAATGATTTGTATTAAAATATGTGTTAAAAACATTATGCTTCTTAAAGAAAAATAATATAACAACCAGAAAGCTCAAAAACAAATCTAACAAAATATTACCTTAGGTATTTCCTTCGACGTAAGTATGCCAAATCCAATAGCCGATTCTTCAGGTGGGTAAATGCGTCTGCCTCGTGTATTTTGTTCCTCAGGCAGTGGACAACTTAATACCATATTAATGTGATATAAATAAGATGGTATTCCAATTATTGGCCTACAATCCGTTAATGCTTCAGCTGTCTAAAAGAGGATAACACGAATTTCATGTAACTACTTGTGAAGCGATAGAAAAGAATGACAGATTTTGACAGAAAAACAAGCGGAACCTTCTTATAATAGTATTGTCTGCGTTTTGTCGTTCCAGGTCTAGCTTCTGAAAAGTCAGCTCTACTTTCATCTGGTGAAGCAGGTACTTCAACATCTTCAGGCTTGGCTTTAAAGTTCTCCTTTCCGATAGGCAACAAATTATCATCTATCTCGTTTTCGCGATGTAGGTCGATGCACATTTGCAAGGCAGCCATACGTCTCGCCATCGCTCTATTCGGCATTGGGTAAGACTGGAATTCAATAAAAAAAAATATATTATTGTTATTATAAAATATAATTCCTTACACAAGATATTCCAAAATTACGAGATGTGTTTTATCTGAATAAATAGAAATTAAAAAAACAAAAAGATTTTTGTCGAGCTAAACTACTTACCGTAACTACATATTTCAGTGGTGAGTTTATGGGAAGCCGTAAAGAACAGGTATACATCTGCGTATTGTGAATATCAACGGCTTCAATCGACCACTCTGGTGTTAATCTCGTGAAAGTATCGCTAGGTAATTTTGCACAATACCTGTATGATTAAAAATATTAGTTATCTCTGGTTGTATTAGAACATGAATTGATTAATAACTAGATAGCTCTTAACAATACTTATTTACATTTCGCTAATTGCTAATAACACAAAATGTTGCATTACCTATTAACCAATGAAATAGCAGAATTAAAAGTCACTTTGGGGGCATCATCGCCATCAAGTGGTTTGTAATGTGGTATCATCGCAGCGTACATGTCTGCTTCATTCTCTTCCTCCTCAGTTAGTTCTTTATTAGAACATTTTAATAATAAAGTCTACAAAAACAAACACGGCATGTTCTTCCATTATGTTTTATGATTGAGATTAACATAAATAATGAATCATATTAAAGAGTGATAATAAAACTGGTACGCACTGACGAGTATTTCGTGAATAAATTAAATAAAACGTATGCACAATGTTGTAACTTGGAAAGATAAGCCAGAATACCAGGTTTACAAAAAGCTGAAATTTCACAAGACAGATTTTGACATAAAATTGAGTGCCACAGGTTATACCTTTTCTATATATTGATATTGAGCTAACTGCCATATAAATTCTTTAGATGCTTTTTGTGGTACCAATAATACATGCAAAGCATCCATCGCTCTTGCCCTACTCTTGCACTGTATGTACGACTGATAATTCTTCGGAAAGTCGTACCTCATCACAAAATTACATTTTGGAATGTCAATGCCTATGAAAAACAACATACAAAACTGTCAAATAAGTTTTATTTTTAGATTCTAAATTTATTTTGAAATCTTATTTTTTAAGAGTACTGTATACCAGTGTAAAAACAATAAAGTCTTACAAACCTTCTTCCAAAATTGAAGTTGCAATCAATAAATTACATTCATGAATTCTAAATCGCTTTAAAACTTCTTCCTGTTTCCTATGTTCCATTTCTAAATCCCTCGAATAACCAACCTCGTCAGTATTTCTTTCAATTGTATAAAGAGGTGATAAAAAATGCAAATCTTCGTCATGCTTACTTATTTCCTGTAATATATTCAAATTAGCAATTAAATATATGTTATATTTATTATATAATAAGAAGAGAGACTTATACATACACTTAATAAATAAAACAAAACTTTAGCTGTGAACCCTTTGTCCACAAAAATTACTCCACAAAGTAAATCAGGATCCGCACTACTGCATAAGTAACGTTGTGACTTGGATGTCTTTTTGTAATTGTCATCGTTAGATTTCCAATTATTTCCGAATCTTTTTAATGGTGCTTGTTTTTCTTGATTTCTCGGGAAAGAAATGTCTTTGTCACTTTTTGTAATACAATTTTTAGAATTAATCTCTGAAACAAAGAGAGAGAAAGAAAGAGAAAAAATATAGCATATTTTAAAACATCCATTAGAATATATTATGCTCTTCGTAATATATAGAAAAGATTTTTACCAGTATTTGTCTTTTTCTCTGGACTCTTAGTTTCTTTCATATAAAAAGGAGTATAAGTTTTTAAAATTTGTAATAGTCGATGAACTTTTGGAGTGCTATATTGATATATCCTTTCTTTCTCCGATAAGTGTTGAAATTCATTATCACAAAGAGCACTGAAAATCGTAATTTTAATATTGATGATTATTAAACTCCTTAATATTGTCACGAGTAAATATCAATGTTACTATTACGATAACCAAATTCTTACCGAATTTTTATAAAAACAGATGTCATCATATTTAATAAAAGATAATGCCTCTCATAAGGAGTTTTGATTTTCAATTTTTCTGTTAAAATTAATAATGCTAAAGCAGCGCGATCTGCACACCATGGTCCTAGAGTTTCTAATATATGCAAAAAATCCTGCATCATCTCGAAGGGCTTTTGTATGGGATCAGGAATTTTCTGAATATCCTCATAAAATTCCTCGGTGTAAATCTCCATTGGATCATATCGATGATCGCGTAAAAACTCAATGGCATGTAGCACGCAATTTTCAAGTTTACTGCGTAAATCTTCCTTTTCTTCCCTAGCATATTCCACAACGTACTCTCTTGGTTTTGGACTATAACTGCAAATAATTTTTACATTGTTACACACTATTTCGTAGTTTGTAAGAAGTCAATAAATTATTAAATGATCAAACTTACCGTATTATTGAAAGAATATCATTAGTCGTTTCTACTCTACACTGAAAGGCAGCCTCTACTTTTTCTACTTCTAGGCCCAATCTTCCAGGCTCTTCTGTCAAATTAAACACTGGTACCGCTAATCCAATTATTCTAGGAACATTGTTGCACAATAAAAAAGTTCGAAGAACAAACTTTAAATTGCTGTCTTCAATAGACTTATGGCACTCATCCACTATGACTAGACTTATGTGAAACGGTAAAATTTTGTTTTCTGATATTAATTGTGCGTAAACTTTTGGTGTTCCGACTAACACCTAGATGTAAAATAAGATAATAAAAAAAATATTTTAATTCAATAATATTACCTGTGATTTATTTAAACAAATATTTTTACTTACATGAAAACTTTCAAAATTGTCAGCAAATTCCTTATCTACACCACAATCACATGCTAATACTTTCAAATCTGTTAATTGTTTTATATAAGTTCCTATTATTGTACACTTTTCTTCATCATTTAATATATATATTGCTCGTTTTCCACCATCACTTATCAATCTGCATAGATAAAGAAATTCATATATATGTGATATTTTAACAAATATTACATATAAATTTAATATTTAATTTGTAGATTAACATATTTTGCCTTAAAGAATATGATATATGAAAGTTTCATATTTCTACATAAAAAAATATTTCTACATTTAAATCTTGCCACAAATATCTCATAACATTCAATGTTTTCATAAGTGTCTCAATCTTTAAATATAATATGTTCAACCAAATAGAAACATATCTTTATTGTTACCTTCTATTATTGGTAGCAAACTCTTGAATTAATTTTATAGCAAGAAAAGTTTGCTCAGAATTTTTTCCCAAACATACAATTATATTTTCTTGTTTTGCTGCGTAAAGAAGCTCTACCTACAACAATCACCAAGTTATATAAGGATAAATAATATACTAATTAGCATAATTATTCATGTGTAGAATTTTTAATATATATTTTTATAATTTCTTTATTTCTCAACCTTCTGTTTTCAAGTTATATTTTTTCTGTTAAAATAATATACCTGGTACTCTCTTGGAGTAAAGGACTTTGTGTAGACCTGATCATTTAGTGGAAATGCCATGGAACCTACAGCTTCTTTATAATTATTGTTCACAATAACGATTTCCTAATAATTACTAATTTCTTAATATTTAGTAATAATAAAAAGTTCGCAAAGCACTCGCACTGAAAGTCTGTTGTTTGCGTGATTACACTTATGAGTTTGAAATTTAAGATCAAGTTAGGTTAAACTACACACAACACACATACACAATACATCACTGAACTATACACATGTATGACTCAATGTTGTGTGAGTTATGTACGACTTCAGAGACATCTTACGATAGAAACGTAAAGTTCTAGATTCATAGCCACTGCTTCCAACTTAATATATGATGTCGGATGTCTAGGAAAATTTTATTTTCTAAAGATTCCAATTTGCATAATGAGATTTGTACTTTTGATTCTCTATATACGATCTCTGACTATTCTTTTTAAATATATTTTTAAACGAAAATCTCTAAAAAATATCTTTAATATAATATAATAATCTATTATATAATGCAGGATATTTATTAAAAGGTTATTAAAAGGTTATTAAAAGAGTAGAAACTACGAATTCACATTTTTTTATTTTAAGCCCGAAATGCTGAATCACATTATGTTTGTAATAATTGAGCAGCACCATTTATAGTGTTCTATAGAGCAATTTTTCTCAAAAGTAAAGATAAATTTGTTTAATGTACATTTGGCCACGAGTCCATATAGAATATAATTCATATAATTGCTTGACCTGAGCCAAATAATAAATATATTATGCATCCTATTGCATCAATAATAGCAATAAATAAGAATACAACTGGCCAGCTGTGTGTCACATGTAAGATGTATCCACAAAAATATACGCCGAGGAAACCTGAAAAAGTAGAACGTTATATATGTTATTCATTAATATAATGGACTATATCACCTACACACATACCAGGTATTGCACCAACAGTATTCATCAGACCAAATACACTGCCAGAATGTTTTGGTGCAAGATCCGATGGATTCACAGCGATTGCATTATTGTGAAAGCCTGAACCACCAATAATAAATGCAAGACACAATATTGCGCTTTGAAAACTTTCCACTTTTGCTGCAAACAATCGATTTATGAGTTTGTTTTTTATTCTATTCGACAATTACTAATAAGACTTAAAAATTGATATTTATTCCCAATGCTATTAAAATATCAAAACTAAAGAAAAATTGTATAAAAAACAAATTATTACATAATAATGTACAATAACAGTACATAATATAAAAATTAAATATTATAACTGTACTGCAGTATAACACATACTTCCGAGACTTAAAAAAAAGAATAATTAAATATTTTACTTACTCAACAGCAAAAGACTCCCAATTTCAGTGATAAAACAGATTGTTTGAATTGTTTTGCGTGTCACAGTCACAGAATAACCAGCTTTAATTATTTTTTCTGACAGAGCTTTTCCCAAGAATGTACAAGGTAGCATCGATAACCATGGTACCATATTTACAATCCAAACCTGTTTAATTTATTCTTAAATTCAAATTTTCTTAAAGAATGACACTGAATGAAAATGAAATAACAAAGTTACCTTGACATCAGGAAAATTGTCATGAAAATATGTAGGCATCCATGAAAGTAACACAAAGAAACAGTTATTTTGGCAAGCATGTCCAATAACACAAGA